GCCCAGCTGGACCAGTGAGGGAGCCACCGCACCTGTTCCACGCTCTCTCACTTTTGTTGTTCGAGGACATAATCAAGCATGACGTGCAGGGAAATTCTACTAAACATTAGAAGAACTATATCTTGTCGTTTTCCGTGACCAGGTTTCCACTCTGCCAGTGAATGAAAGAGTGGTGTTAGTTATTCCTGCAGAGAGCTTCCCGAAGCTTTCTTTCACATTTCTGTCTGGCAGCAATTAACTTGGGGGATGAATGCAAAGCTGGAGCCAAAATCCAGACACACACACACACACACACACACACACATACACACACACATACACACACACAAAGAGAAGCTGACGCTCCCCCTGAGCATGTGGTCTGGGAAACCTTTCCCTGCGATTTTCTCCAAGGTTGCTGTCCTTGTGCTTCCTTACACAGGTGTCCATTTGACTCATTTTAGACTAGAGCTAATCTTTTTTTCTTTCTTCTTTTTTTTTAAGGTAAATTTTTTTTTTTTATTTATTCATTTTTGAGCATGAGTTAGTGAAAGCAATGTATGAATATAAAGCATTCCTTATGTTAATTTTAATAAATTTAAATATATAAATGAATTTAAAAGCACACACACACACACATATATATATATATATATATATATATATATATATATATATACACACATTGTCGGAAGAAAACCTCGTATCTCCATTTTTGTTGTTTTTCAGTTTTTGACATAATTTGAAAATGTCTGTTGTCCTTTACATTGTGTGTAAATTTCATGAGGAATGGACCAAAACAAATGACCCAAAATAACTTTTCTCTTATTTGTTTTATTCAAGAAAAATAAAAAATATATATTTTTTTATTTATTTAATTTTATTAAATTAAATTGTGCTCTGAAGTAGGCTTATCGATACATGACATACCTGTGTTTAATTTAAAATACACTTGCCTCTGTCAGTCACACAAAATATCACTACTTGAATAGATATTCGTCAATACATTAATAAGTACGTTATGATAATATATATCTTGTAGTTCATTAAAGAAAAAAAGTTTACTCCCTTATAAAGTTTTAACGGTTCTGTAACCAGTATTGACCATCCTGCGTAATGTAAACAGTTTGCCAGTATAATATTTGTTTGGTTAATTGATTGTTTAACCTCTTATGCCTCAGTAATGTTTTGGCAATGCAGTGTTGTTTAATGCTTAAATCTAGCTTTTAGATATATTTCCTCACTATTTATTTGCATCAAAGTTATTCCATAGCGAGTACCCAGTGTGACTGACATTAGTGGCAATGGGGACGAACCTTTATAGTGTTGTGGAGCTCAGGCCATCTTTGGTGCGCGAGGAAGAATGGAACTGGAAGGCAAACTGCAGATAGCACTGGCCTGGGGGCCAGATTAGTGCTGCTTATCATAATGAGTGCACCTAGCCATCTTCCCTCAGCCTGCGTTCTTTCCCCAGGCCAAAACATGAGTGAAAAATCGCAAATCCTGTTGTAAACCTGGTGGTTTGCAAGATCCTTGCTTGTAGACTGCAATGTGAAGATGTGGCACAAGTAAGAAAGAGTCAGAAAGATGTCATTAATCACCGTGAGGGTAATGTGTGAATCATTCAGACAAAAAATAATCTTTTAAAATTGTTTTGTCATTCAATGCAGGTTAGAATAATCTTGTTATTATTTTAAAATTCTGTTGTCAATGGGCTGTTTTTCTCAGAACTAAATTAGATGAGATTTTTTATGGTGATTTATTGGATTCATTGGCATTAATTCAAGGGCTTGATCCATGTCCACCAAACTGGCCCAAAATAATTCGCTACGTTTTAATTTTTTATTCTGAAAATTTCAGACCATTATATTTTAGTATGCACAGTTTACTTTTAAATTTCCACAAACTCTACTCTGTACCTTGTTTTTTAGTTAGTGGAGGTGTACTGGGACACAATGGGGAAAATCTGCAGCACGCAGGGGTTGCGACATAACCCTGGCACTAGGAAACTGTGACGCACAAACTGGTGGAAAGGCTTGGCTGGGACACATAGACAGAGCACCCAGCTCATTTGGATAAAATGGGGTCCTGTCATGCCGCATCAGTGACCAGCAATGGACACGGCCGTCCTTCATGCAGATACATCTCACCCATACGCATGCTCTCACACACACGCTGTCAATCTTTTCTTGTTTCACACACACACACACACACACACACAAACGCACACTCGCTCCTACTCATAGGGAAGCAGACGCCAGCCAGTCTGGGCCACGATCAGCAGTATTGTTATTAACGTTCTCCCTTGCGTGTATTAAGGCACCATGAGGACACATCCCAGCCCTATGACTGCAGGGCTCTGCTTTGTTCTTCCCCGTAACACAGGCATAATTACAACCTTAAAGAGAGTCTACCTTTCCTTTTCACCCTCTCTCTCCTGCCACACACCTCAACCTGCACCCCATTTTGTTATGATAGCTATTCAAAAGAATCCACCCTGGCAACTGTCACCTTTTAGAACGTGGCATGCAGGTGAAACTTCACTTTGATATTTTGAGGTGTATTCATTTCTAGGTCTTATGAGGCATCTATATCTGTGTATAAGGACATGGAATGTCCTTCAGTTCATTCATTTTAGAATATTTTGACTATTTTGTGGTTTGAAAATGTTTAAAACATGTTAACCAAAAAATTTGTACTCTGTTTTGTTGCTGCTTTGTTACATTTTTTGTACTAGCTGGGATCCGTGGGTCTGAAGGCTCTCTATTTTCCTTTCCTCCATTTGAGAAGGGAAATTCAAGCCGTCCCCAAGCAGGCAACTACTCGCAAGACATCTGGCATTTAGTATCTTTTGCTGTCATTTGTGAAAGTATGATTTCGCTACAGTGGTAATCTGTGGTTTTGTTGAGGCCTATTGAGCTCAAAGACCATGTCCTGTCAAAGCTTGGGCCTTGGGCCTATTGTGGCGGAGCCGCGCAGGCCTGAGGAGCGCTATCATATGGAGAGACATGACCAAAATGAGCAAGTGGCACACCGACGACACGTATTTTCAACAACATATGGAGTCCGCTGTGCTGTAATGACAGCCTTAGTTTGCGTGGGGCTTATAAAAAAGGGAGGTAATGCAATGGCGGTGCTATAGTGTAACAAAACAGGACGCAAAGTGTGAACTTTCCACAGCTGTATGATTTATTGCTGGTTTCTTTTGGACCTGAAAACGTACCAACAATGAAAATGTAGCAGTTGAAATTTCTTTGCAGACTTTTGTTTCTCATTTAGGCTTCTTTTTAAACAAATGTGAACTTATTAATATTACTTTATGGACCATGAAGAAACACTCATCATTCAGTCGAACGTGGGATGGTTGATGTTAATGCTTCATTAAATTTTATTGAATTGCATGATCATGAAAACACTACTTGGAATCAGTTGCACTAGAACTGCATCAATTTCGAAGATGAATTCTAACCTGTTTCAACATCTGATGACTCTGCCTATATATGTCTGAAGTATGTCAGACTGTATTGGGTTCAGGGTCATTGAGGAAGGTTTGAGAGTTGGCAGAAGATGAAAGCCATGCAGTTAAAGACCTGTCAAGCCTGAAAATATGGGCTTATGTCTTTGGTGCAGCATAGTCACCGCCCTTTTGCTGGACATGTTCTTGTCAATATACAGCTTTTTATTAAGACAGTAAGTCTAAACGTGCCTGGATTTACTCTACGTTTTTCTCTACATAGTCCGATCACTTAACTGTAGCTCTGCAGTGGCCATGTGAGTGATATAGTTTATGCTTGATTACATTTATGAATAATCCATAAAAATGAATTATTTATTCATTGTGTTCTCATAACCATTGCTCTTTTGTCAAATTGGTTCCCCAGTGTTCAGATTACAATATTCTCTTCAGTGTATTATTGCAGTTTCTATGAATTCAACAATTGAAGGCCACCAGGTTCCTGACTTCACAACAAATGATTTTTACACAGCACACTGATCAGAAATATGGGACCACACTCTATACCAGGTCTGCCCCAAGTATGGGGACGTGAGGACGTTTGGTTTGGCCCACTAGAAAGTTATCCTAACTCTTCCTCTCAGCCAAAAGGGGAGGACATATTTTACACTGCATAACTGAATTGCATTCTATCTTTTTATTTACATGTTTTTTGCCATTTTGGCACCTTTCAAAAGAAAAAGTTTAGGCACCCCTGCTACTATCACTTTCATTTTCTTTTTTTAATTTTCTATAGACCTGTAGACAACCACTTCCATCATTCTCCAGAAAGCACTTTCTTTCCTCAGCCAGATGGTGAATAGATTTAGCAAAGCTGCTGTTTTGCTGTCAGGGTGAAAGCAGCACTGCTTACAAAAGAATTTGACATTTATTCTAGAGTCTGTTGAGCCTTAACCATTATCTGTTAAACTCAGTTTGGCCTCTGGCTAAAACACAAGATCCAAATATTGCTTTTTGTACTCTTTATTCATGCTACATTATCCCAGGAGGACTTTAGAAGAGGGGGAGACATGTGGACACAGATAGAGACTATTAATCAATTGGGCGTTATTAACTTTTAACGCTAGACGCGTTTACAGTTTCAGCTGCAAATGTTGATTCAGCACATTTGACTTTAAACGTGGCACTTTGCAGTTTGGGTTCAGTTTAGATGCCAGAAGAAAATCTGTCAAGCTTAAAGGAGCCTAAGTGAAATATAGCATTGAAAAGAAGAAGTAAATAATTCTAGATGAACTGCAGTAAAATGAATAGTTCACCACAGTGAGATGGTTCTTTCACAAGAAATACATGCAGAACAAACTGAAAATATATTGAAATGTATTCTGCTTAGATTCTGGAATGTATATTGATATAACATATTACATTAACGTGTTGCATTTACAGATGCTGGAATTTCTGTTATTGAATTTTTCATCCTGCTATTTCTGTTTTACTTATTATTGAATCAATAATCCCTTAAATTCTGGGGAAAAGGCGCTGTTTTTTATTATTATTGATGGATATTTACGGGATGTACGTTGTTTTATCGACGTGAAAAACGTTTTAACTGCAAGTTTACAAGTCGAATTTTCTTACTGACGGAATTTTAATTTTACTACAGTATTTATTCGAAAAACATATTAGAAATATGCATTTTTGTCGTTCGATTTTTTTTCGTTTACCTTTATTTAAATTCACCTGTGTAGGAGTTTTAACTGTAGTTTATGTTTTTGTAGTTCATTGAGATCTGTATTTTTAACCGTCTTTTGTTTTATCTTCGTGTAATGCCTTCATAAGTCGTCACGTGCCTTCATAATGCGTTATGATAAATTCCATCTTTTTAAAAAAGCTTCTTACGCTGTGATGGTTGTAAAGTCCACTGTAGTCCACAGTGATGCTGGAGGGATTCAGAGCTTTACTCTCCTCTCCACAAACCTGCTAATGAGCTTAATGAGTTTTGCCCTCTGGGACGTGTGACACAGCGGACTGGGGGACCAATCAGAGCTCGCGCTCCTGTGTGTGTGAACGTGTGTGTATGTGCATCTGTGTGTGCGTATGTGTGTGTGTTCTTCTAGATGATTTTCTCTCGATTTAAGAAAAGTTTTACTCTTTTCCGCTCGTTTTAAACGGCAACCGAAAACAGATTTGGGATTTTTGCATATTTTTTTCGTTGTTTTGTGAGCTATATATTTTTTTCGCTAATCGCGATTCCTCGCTGCTCGTGCCGCTCTGTTTTTGGGATGGATTCGCTCTGAGCCCTCGTCCTCCCGCCGCCTTCATGGACTTCTCCTTTAATGATGTCTGTGGGCTTCGTGTCTGACCCTCTGGCCGCTGCCCCCCGGCCGCCCGCTTTCCTGCCTTTCTCTCCTCCGCCAGGCTCCGGATTGCCCCCCGCCGGCTACCCTGTGTCCGGACCCCCCCAGCACGAGGCGCCGTACCCGTGCGCGGTGGCCCACTACACACGGCCCCTGGGCTTCTCTTACCCCGGGCAGACCGGCGCTCCTGCCCCGCCTGCCTACATGCCCTACCAGCAGGGCAACTACAGTACAGCGCTGGGGCAGCAGAGCAGAGCAGAGCACCCGGGTGAGTACAGCTCGGAGTCCTATACCCTCACTTCACTCCTTCATTCATTCATTCATCTGTTACTGTCTGTCATCGGTATTGTCTGTTGACAATTGACAGTACACAAATTGTTATATATATATATATATAATATATATATATATATAATATATATATATATATATAAAATATACTATATTTAAATATAATTATACTAAAATTAAAACACACCATTTAAGACATTTAAATAACAAAAATTACTATTTCTAAAATATAGAAAAGCCCAGTAAAAGGAGAGCGAGCGCATGTACTCACTTTTTACTTATTAATAAATTGTAAAAGTTAAACTTGTATGCGAGAAAACGCACCTTAGTAGAAAATGCCGATTTAAACCTTTTATTTTAAATAAATACATAAAAATATAATAAATAATAATGATTGATGCTCGCGTCACCGAGTCTGCTGTTGTGATTTTATCGATCAAACAAGGAAATTCGAGCTAATGCTGAGCGTGTGTTTTTGGTGTTTGGACCCCTTCAGTAGCTTAATGCAGTGTGTGGATAGACACACTGGTGGGGGTTTGTATTCATAGCTCAGCTAAAATGCTCCATGTTGCCTTTAATTAAATTATAACAGTCCGTCCTGATTAATGCTGTGCCTATTAACGCTAATGAAACAGTCCGCATCTAGAGCCTCTTTTGCGATGGCACACAGCGCAGTGGGCCTGCAGGGATTTATTAACTTTAATCAGTATTAATTCTGTCGTGTAGCCGCTGTTGTGTATATGACAGATATAGAAGGTATACAATACAGTGTATTCCAGTAATGAACTTTTCATGACAACAGATTAGATTGTATGTCCTACCTTCGGCTGCGGGCATTAATAATACTCTGAGAGTTTTATTCCCGCTTCATAATACAAGATGAAGCTGGATGAATCACATTCATATTTAGAAAATATATATATTTTTTTGTTGATTTGAAACTCCGCTCCAAACAGACTGACCTGCATTATGCATTAGGGCACAAAAATGTTTCCAGTTATCCATCATTCAGTTAGATGAGCGTGACGTTCTAGGTTTATCTGGACATCAAAGCGTCCAGAAGCCTAACCCTTTTAAACTGTTCTCTTTTTTAAATGCGAGAGAAGCACTACACTACTATTGTATTATTTATTTAAGATAATTCAGTAGATATATTAAAATGAGCGTTTATACCCGTTAGGCCTCATGTAAACATATCTTTAGACCCATGGTTTAAGTGTATGTCTGCAGATTTTCTCTAAAATTTATATGACCTGCTGAATAAGCTTTCACTGAGAAACTGGCCTTCTGTTAGTTTTATTCTGAGCCGTATCCTGAGTGACATAAATCAGCATGCTTTTTACTGTGATCCTTTTCACTAGCTCGTAAATCAGGCTTGGGGTGTGCTTAAAAGCGCATAACCCATTTGTAGGCCGTATATTTAAGGGAATATCTCTGTCTAACTGCTGTCCTGTCTCCCATAAGGCCGCGAGCAGGCCGTGGGGGCTGAGTCTGGCGAGCTGCGTCTCGGAGGGAAAGGCAAGAAGCTCCGCAAGCCCCGTACTATCTACTCGAGCGGGCAGCTGGCGGCGCTGCAGCAGCGCTTCCAGCAGACCCAGTACTTGGCCCTGCCCGAGAGAGCTGACCTGGCCGCACAGCTTGGACTCACACAGACACAGGTACGACAAACACTGCCCTTTACCAGAGGGGTTTTATGCAGGCTAAGCCTACACTTAAATAAAAGTATTACTTGACTCAAGTAGAAGTAAAAGTAACCTAACAAAGCAGCTTGAGTAATCAAATGCAGGTCAAACTAAAACTTCTGGAGTACTAAAGTTCAGAACTGGGGCAGAGCATCTTATTACATCTGTACACCTATCAGCATGGGAGCTGACGTTTTTTGAAGGTGATATTCTTAACTTTAAAGGATGCTTTTTGTTTGGAATAAACAGCTGAAGCTCGAAAATGAGAGGTGTGAGTAACAGAAATTAGGCTGTCCATATGAATGAATTGTAAAACTGAAGTGAGTAAAAAGTAGGTTACTTTCTTTATAAATGTACTTGAGTATAAGGAAAAGGTCCATCATTTGAAACTACTCAAATAAGTATAAATCCATGGCATTTTGTAAATAAACAGATGAGCTTCCTACTTCTGCCATTTACTTCCCAAACCACAACAAGTACACTAACATTACACTCCAATAAAAGTGGCCTCAGAATATTGAGTTCATTCAAACTCCAACAGTGAATTAACATGCTGGGACATCTTAATAATATTTGGCTATTCAAACTTTAAAAAGAAAAATGTCAAAAGTATCTGTGATACTCAATATTGTAATGACCATAATGATGATTTTATTTGAAAGCCAGTAAACTGGTTGCCGTTTTTGACTTCACTGAAAGTGAATGTGTAGAATGGCAATTTAAGATGGGCCAAATTTTTCTTCCTAGCTCTGCTGCATTTGATCTAGTCCTTAGGTTTAGTGGTTTAGCGGTTTGGTTTAGTTCTTAGTGTTAAGAAGAGCGAAACCCCATATTTTGATTGTAAAGCGTCCTGAGTGTGGAAAAGGTGCTGTATAATAAAAGTGATGATGATGATTTCGTTACATGAACATACTGTAAACAAAAATGTTTTAATGTTATTACAAAATGAATAGTTGCCTTGAGTTTGTGGACATGGTAATTGACACAAGGGCAAATCTGAATTATGTGGACAGTGATAGTGTGCAGTGTGGTGTATGTTGTTTAGAAAACAGGGCCTGACTTTTCCAAGACATTATGCTTCAGCTTTGGTATAGTCTTTAGTCTAGTGGCTATAAACATGGAGTTTATTGAATTTCCCATAAGTAAGTTAACAAGAGCAAAAACAGTATTTTGTCATCTGAGCAACACTCAAATTAATCCTGATCACTTGGTGAAAGAGAAAGAGTTATGTATGTATGTATGTATGTATGTATATATGTATGTATGTATGAACAGCTAGAAAAAATGCATCGGTCTATGAGTACAGTAGTATCAGCAATCAACAGTGAGGCAATAATCTGGTTACTTTCACTGTATTGATACAATAGCAATTCAAGCAAGTATGTAAACCCAGATTGTGATGTTATCTGAATAACAGAGGAGTCTATGTTGATTTAAGTGGGACAGTTATGAGAAGGCAAAACATGTCAGCCATTAGTTACACTTCATGGAGTATTTTTACTTTTTCAAGAGTAGCTAGATTTTCCTCTATCATGCTGTGCTACTTTAGGCCTTTAGTCTTTATTCTATTGCTTGAAATATAGGCATATGAGAAACTGAAAGCGTTTGAGAGATAATAATGATAATGAGAGCTGTGTGCCATTTGATATAAGGCAGTTTAGATAACCTCAAGTAATATTTCCTTCTTCGTTTGGTTTTTCCTTCTGTGTGTGATTCCCAAGCTGGTGTCTTTGCTCTTGTCATCGCTCACGGGGCCTGATAAGTTTATTTTTGACATGACCACGTTGGAAATTTGTTGGGAATTTGAAGGTACATTTTATGGTGAGGTATTTAATGTGAATAGTCCAGATTGCTAATCAGTTAAGATTATTTGAAGCAAATTTGCAATAAGTCATTTGACTAAATGATTCATGACCCTGAACTAAACTTAAAAGCTAAAGAGCATTTTGGCAACGTTGGGTAGTGTTTTTCTGTAATTATCTTCTTGTTGCCTATTGTCTTCTGCATGGCTCATTAGGGTAAGAATCTTTAGAGTGTGAGCTACTATTTTCTCAGTGCTCAAGTGGTTATCCAGAAGACTTTTCTCTTGATTGGTTAAGCCTTGTACTTAAGAGCCCATATCCAAGTACTTACCAGTGGCTTTAACAAGTCTTTCATGGTAGTGACATAAGATAAATGGGCCTGCAGTCCATTTCTAGGGTGCATTTCGTTCCCCTGTCCAGCCATCTCTTCTAGAACGTATTTTTGCTTTATTGCGCAATATTGATGCCCTTCCTTTTTCAGAACATTCACTAGATGTTTTTTACAAGTTCGACACAAGCTTCGTACAACCTCACAAACTAATGCAATACATTAAAGCAAATTTAGGCACACGTGGCTTCGCCTCACCTCGTGTGCAATAAGCAATAGGATAAGAATAATAAGAATACAATAAGAATAGAAGCTACAGAAGAATAGCAAAAGGTGCGAGCACGCACTCACACACACATTCATTACCTTTTGACACATTTAAACTCTTCTATTGTTCTTCTATCTATCTTTTCTCCTTCTTCTCCATCTTTGCTGTGTCAAACACCCAGACACTTGCCACCCTGGGTGTGACAGGTTGTTCCTTTTTTGGCTAAATCTGTTCCACAGCTGGCTTGTTTTCTTGATTAGACCTCAGTCTTCACCAGACTGCATCAAAGCGTGCCTATGATCTGCTCAAGAAGGCAGACACTTAGGGTTTGTCACACATGGCCTTACCTTCAGATAGCCCCTACCGATCACCAGTGCAGCATAACGGATAAGCCGCTTCAAAATGAAGACCTAAGCCAAAGCGTAACAGTCATTTTTTGCCAGCCATTTTCCGTATGATCTATAAAAATGATTGTAAGCATATAAACAAATGCCACACAGCACATGGTTTGGCTCCATTAAGCCCCCCACCACCACCCAACACACATACATAACTCAAGTCTGGATTCAATCACTTCACCATAAAAGCTGTTTGGCAAACTAGTCTTTAGGAATAGAAAGAAAATCCCTTTTTCAACATGTGTTTATTAAGGCTGTTGACGGCCAAACCAATAACAGTTTGAAAAAGCCGTTACATAGAATTTGCTCATCTGAGATTATGGAAACTGTTAGGGGATTGGTGGCTCACTCTCAGAGTGTGATGTCTGGACTCCATACTCCAGTCTTTCACCCTCCAAGGTGTTGATTTCAAATGAAGAATTCCAAGAGGTCAGAAAGAACCTACTTGACTGCCAGCAAACACACGTACAGATTATAAACGTGTCTTTATGTTAGTTTATTAGACTGAGTCACTATAAGTACTTGAACCTGCAGCAATGAATAGGTGTAACATTTTCACTGATGTCATCTAAGTGTCTTAAATGTATCAAAACAAGGAGTGAAGCTAAATCTTAAATTTGATTACATGGCCCCCTTGGTGGCATATTCGATTTCTTTTGCTACTGCGTATTAAATTCATACAAAAATGATTCTCTGGCTGTGAAACAATGGAAAAAAAGCAATCATGCGTGAACCTGGTGTACATGTTTACTATGTTATTCGCCCAGAAAGCTCTCTGGGAGTTATTTCACCAACAGTGATTTTAGGTTCAGGGTTATTGTGAGACACATGCATAACGTCCCTCATAAAGCTGCAGGGCACAACAATAAGAGGGCATGCGTGTAATCAAACACAGGAGTGGCACTGAGCCCATCTCCAGCAAGGCTGCTTTATATTTAGGATTTCATTAGCACTGGCCTCAAATGGACAATGGCTCCAATTGCGTTCTCTCTTTTCATAAGCTGCAATTGCTTGATTATTAATCTTTTAGCTGGCATTTTCTGATGAAACTTTTATTTCTATCCATAATTGGGTAGTAATTAGTTCCTTTTTTCCTAGTTCCAGGTACTCAAGAAGAGTTTTAGTAGGTTTATATTTAATTTTTTTTCAAATGATAATAATAATAATATTAATATTAAATAATATTATTTCTTGTGATGTAGTATATTTGTGTGAAAAGGAAAACTTCAGTCCTTCAAAACCAGTATATATATATATATATATATATATATATATATATATATAGATATAGATATAGATTGATAGATAGATATACACATGCATATATACATATGTTGGGTTTCATTTAATTTTGCTTTGTTGGTTCAGCACCTAAACAGTTGTGAGCAACAGTTCCTGTGCTGTTATACTGCATGTACTGCGATGCTCCACTAAGGTTCATTTATAGCTATTCTACGCTCTAAGTACAGTTGTATGCAAAAGTTCGATCACCCACGGTCAAATTGCATGTCACAACTAAATTACAATTATGTTTTGTTGTTTATGTTTATAAGTGAAAATAAGTACACATCCTCTACAGACAGCACACATTTAAATGCACAATTACTGTTCATTTCCTGAATGTAATATTTTGGGGAAAAGATTGAAGTAAAATACGGCTGTGCAAAAGTTTCATTTTTTAAAACTAAATTCTGAATTATTTTCAAACTTTTGCACACGACTGTACGGAAGTAGTCTTATTGAAATTAATTAGCTATTAGTCATTAAGTAATTAGCTGATTTGTTTCCTTGTTTGTTTGATCGTTTATAGGCCATTAGTCTTATTTAAACGAATGTAGTTTATTTATTTATTTATTTATTTATTTATTTTGAACCTGTAATATTTTCGTTTGTTTTTTATTTCATTTATTTATTTATTTTGCTTTTTTCCTTCCCTTTTTGTGGTCTTACTCTGCTCCAGCTCATTTTAACCATTTCCTCACCTTTTTTTTCTCTTTGCAGGTTAAAATTTGGTTCCAAAACAAGCGCTCCAAATACAAGAAGATCATGAAGCACGGAGCGAACGGACCTGAGGGAGACCCGCACGGCCCGTGCTCGACCTCTCCGCCATGCCCCGGGCTCGCGCCTCTATGGGACGCTCCGGGCCGCGCGGGGGGTGCTTATATGAACCCTTACGCAGGGTGGTACAATAACCCCCAGCACCCAGAGCCTTTATAGTGAAAGACAGAGACGGACTGGAGGACTCTGACCTTTACCCCCCTGTAAATATGTCTGTGTGTGCATGAGCGGGCTGTGACGTGATTCCTTCATTAAGGTTGTTTGATTATTATTATTGTTATGTTTTTAATTTTGTCGATACTATAAGTCATCGGTGCTTTTTTATTTTGATTCAGACTCTTTTAAGATTTACTTTGAATAAAAGGACTGATGAAAGAATGCCAGCCATTGCCTGCCTCTTCATATGATCTAACGAAATGATTCCTGCACAGATGTTAAACTGACATTTTATTATGTGATCAGTAATATTTAATGAAATTATATTTTAGCAAATGATATGTAAATACATTGTCACCATTTTGTTAAATATAAAACACGTAAAACATTTTTAAAAATGTTTTAAAATGTTTACAAGTACATATAATTATATCGAATATATAAACATATAAACAGGGCAGAAAAGAAATCTGCAGGAAAGATAAACTCGACACAGCTTGTACACTGAGAAAATGGTTGTTTTGGCAATAATTTTGTACATATAATACATACTTCATACATTTTATTATTGTCAATTCAAAGCACCATTTTTTCAGTGTATAGTTTGAATCACTTCTATTTTTCTCCTATTTTCGCCGTTTCACTCAGTTTTCTTGCATGTTCTATATGTTTCTATTTTTAAAATCCTTCAAATTATCCGTTTTTGATCGGATCTAATTATTTTTTTCCTCACAAGATAAAGCAGCCCTCAGTGAGACGTTAGGAGCTTTGTTTGTTTGTTTGTTTGTTTGTTGTATTTGCATTAGAGTAGCTCAATATTAGTATGACGTGAGGAGTAATTATTGAAAGAGTCCTGTCTTGATTCCTACTCCAGCTGAAGCATGTAAAGCAGTCCAGATCTGTTTATTTCCCTCTGCAGAGAGTCACTGAATTCAAAGCTGAGACTGATTCTCTGACTGTGTGTTTTTCATTTGTTTATTAACCTTTAATGGCAAAAAGTTTCCAAATCCAATTTTTTTATTGAATATCTGTATATTTAATCGAACTTAAATGATCAGTTAAATCGTTTAAATAGGATGTGATTTAGTATAACGCGCGTGACTGGGGTGAATGAAATTTACTCACGGGGACTGGACTCATTTTGACAGGCAAGTTCCTCAAAATGCTTCATGAGTAAAATGTACAGGCCAACTTGGAGCATGTGAGTATGAGAAAAGATACAAATACATACTTTTTCACCTGGGAAAAACGTATTTAAGGTACACAATTGGGCCTTGAAACCACTGTTGCACCTCTGAGGGAACATTTACAACGTTTGTTCCTTTTAACGAAAAATGCACATGCGCAGAACCTTAATTTCTAACAGTATACTGTGCAAAAGGTTTAGGCACCCAACAAAATTAGAGTTTCAAAGTTAATGCGTTCATTTAAGAATTTCTGATGCTCTCTTGGAGGAAGCCCAGTATTATTTTGTATTGTTTATTTATGGTTTGGCAAGTGTGCTGGTGATGAAATTGTACAAATCTGTGTGATGGCTGGAGGCGTCCAGGAGAAATGTGGAACCAGACTCTCTTCTCCAAACTAGCTCACAAGATATCTACTCCTTTTTTTTTCAGGTAAAAAAATCTTGTTAATTTTTACTATTTGGTGCATCTATTTTGATGATGTGTAGTGAATAAAAAACTGTTTTAAACACTGTGTTTAGGTGCCTAAGACCTATATATAGTTCTATATAGTGTTTCTGCAGGAATGTCCTTACTATAAGGATTTTGAATCCTCAGAGTCTCGTGCAGTTGAAGTTCCATTATACTCCAAATTTACTGAGAAACGAAAAGTCCACTGAGAACTCTTAGAGGGATTCTCTTTCAGTCGAGCTGGGAGTAAAACACCCTCGCGCCTGTCTTTGTTCCTGCTCTCTGTTTAACACTAACTGGCCAGACCTCGCTGCCAGATTAGAACTGCGCGTTCTTGTTTAGCGGATTCAGGAAACTCTGCTTGTAATGAGATGATAAATGTGTGCAGCATCAGCCACGAAGCCTGATTAATAGGAACTTGTACTGATTCACACGTTTTAGTGTTTAAAGCGTGTAAATGGAGCGAACGAGATGTTTGTAGAACTTTAAACTCGCTCGTCTCTGGAACTGATGTAAACTCAGAGCTTTGCAAATTTCGGCAACCATGATGGATTGCACATTTTTGCTGAGCTTCAGAAGAGGAGAAAAGAGTGTGCTGAACACAAGAGTGAACAAATCAAGGATGAAAATGAGTCTCAAATGGATGCACTGTGCAGTATATTTGTTGTTTTAACTTAAAAATGAACAAACTTGGTTGCCTTATATTTTTGAGTTTATTAAAGCTCCAATATTAAGTTTCTTGGAAGTTTATAGAACCGAGAAAACTTTGAATAACACTTTTTATACAGATATTCTGGTCAAAATTATTTATATATATATTTATTTTTTCATTATGATGGTTTAAGCTTTCTCTGCTGACACAAGAACTTGTTCTCAGAGGGTCCCAGACTCCCACTGTGGTCTATGTGATGATATTATTACTTTATTACCAGCCTACTGTTAAAAATGTCTGTTGTTTATTTTTTTTTTTACTAAACAGTTTGCATTGATATTTTGAGTTCACTGAAATTCCAACATTAAATTAATACTTCTAATACTAATAATGAATATTAATTAACACATTTATTATGTACACATTGGTGCATCTAAGTTGACTTAAAAGCAAATAGTTATAAGAACACAAAAATATTTTTTTCTACATTTTCTCATAAAATGAGTTCATGCTTAATTCCAGACCTATTAAAACTTGGTAATAAGAGCCACCTGCAGAGTTGTGGGGTCCACTTGACCTGCCTTTGACCTGGCTCACTCAGCAGAGTCCATTCCCCTTGTCTAAACAGGCACATTACAAAGGCCTTCTGTCATTGTGCCCACCACTGAGTGATAATACGCCATAGCACAAGCTTCTTATATGGTCATTATTCACATGCACTTTTCACTGAGGACTATCAGCCAAACTGTTCAGAGAATTTTTATTTCAAGGAAACTCTCTGGGAATTAATGTGACACACAATGCGGCTACTAATTACTGTTAAGATATTTTGTCATTATTTTACAAATTCCCCCTTCATAACAGACGTGTTAAGTCACATTGACTGAAAAGGGCTGTCTAATTATTGTGTTTGAAAGATTTGTTTTAAATAAGAGGTACAGTTACACCAGTAGTGAGCTTGTGCTGCGGCTTTGATATTTAATGCTTCAGCATTTTCCATTTCGAGCAGTTATAGGCTCGCAAAAACAGCAAATCCACATCCTTCTATTCGGTTTAAAGTGACTAAAAATTTTAGAAGCATTAGCATAGACACCCAGTCACTTACCTCAGTGACTGAAATTATCCCAAAGTCACCGAACCAACAAAACCAAGAAATCCAATCTGCTTTTGGTTGATAAAACTCCACTTGTGTTTGATTTTTAGATCTTCCAGTACCTCTTTATATATCCCGCATCCCTGTGCTTGATTTGTCGAAATTATGGGGCCTGTTAAGTTGTGGGCCATGGGAAGAGAGGACAAGTGTAACTCAATGAAGTGGCAAGGCATCACAAGGCAAATTATAGGCAATTTTACATCTCAAGATTAGAATAATGGTTGGATAGACCTTTCAAACGGGGCAATTACTGACGAGGCAGATTTGGGAGAGCTCTGAAGGGTGATGTTGTGGTGGATGGGGGGAGCACAAAGAGTGGGAGTGGGCTGATAGATAGAAAAAAAACACCTTAATAGATTCTCCATACTGTGAGAGTGCAAGCTTATTGTATTAAAGATGCCAATTGCAGTATATCAACACTTGCAAAATAAGATGTCTCATTACAATAAATCATAGTGGAGAGACAATCCTCTCAGCAGTGATTATAATTATTATTCTGAGTGATCTGACAACAACCGTAATTGTGTGTTCGCTTTTCATTTCTTAAGAGAGTGCACAATGTGGCGTAAGTGGGGGGTGCGTTTCACTACCACAATGCTTATCTGTGGCTGCGCTGCTAGAGATCAAATCCTAGAATGCATCTCATCTCCCTTCCAGGCCCCTTCGTGATTTATGCTTCCACAAGGGAACACTGTGGCATGGTAGGAAGAGACTTGGCCTTATAAGTACAGCTAACAGCATCTTCAATTTATGCTTGGCTTATTGGGGTATGGACCACGAATCGGGATGGCTCCAACCTCCCTAGACTATTTCTCTGCTGCCACCCTGAACTGCACCCTGGCTCCTGGGGTGAAGCAGCGTTCACTGGTTCACAGCTGTCAAAGATGCCTGTCTCATTTGATCTTATTTACATTTCGAGCAGGATGAGACTGCTGAGTGATGCCCGCTCTGAGGTAGAGGTTTCCGCCTGGCAAGCTTGGTCAGGCAGCTGCCCCCTGTCTTTTCATGGCAACATATGCGTGTCCCACCCACCGCTGACCGCCAGCTCAACCTTCATTTGCCACCCTAGAGACCCCTCGACATCATTTTCTTGGATTACGTTTCTCAGCGAAAGGGGCAAAGAGTGAACCCCACTGTCTTTTTTTAGGGCCCATCAAAATGTAGTATCACATTCTGAGTTCAACAGTTCAAACCTTGCCATAGTACTCAGGGTATTGCACGTTGAGGGTGGTGACCTAAGCTCTGAGATGACCTTGTTCTGAGGCTTTGCCACTCTACGTGTTTGGCTGAATGAGCAATGTGTCCCAAGACAGCAGAGCCTGGACCAGTACCAGCACGTTAAGGCCACACACGATGTACAAACCAATGAGAAAAGTGATATGACACATATGGCCAATGGGCCACTGGGAAGGCAGAATTGAAAAAGTCTTGATGAATATTTCTGCTGTGGATATTATAAACTTTCCGAATGGAACAAGATTGTAAGAGGGAAATGCCTGGCCAAGATGGACCATTTTCACTTAAGAAACAGGCTTTGTGTGTAGATGACAGAATAATCATCCTATAAAGGGAACTAAGTGGCCTGACAGGTTTTTATGTGTGAATGTGACTCTTCCCTCTCTTCTGTAGGTAGTGTTGTAATTCAATCTCTTCATGTCTTCATGACTAATTTCTCAGCTATGGAATGCCCTGAAATGACTCACAGTTGACCAGGCAACCATCTCAACTATCTCCATCAAGCACACCATTGATCGAAGATCTCTGACAGCTTGTGTCTTCTCTTAACCCCCTGCTTAGATCCCCAACAACATCCATCTCTCTCCGACCTTACATCAGTAGATTTCGTTCCAACATTTTCGCTTCCAAGATCTGACATTATCACTTACGTGAAACCACACAAATGTTTTCGCACACACAAGCTGTGATCAGCTTGGTTTCCCCAGGCCGCGGTGACCCTGACGAAAGCAGTGTTTGGAACATCTGTGGGAACTGTGATAGGCCATGCCTAGACATGGGCCGACCTTTTTCCCTTTGTTCCCATTTATTTTGCCAACAGATCTTCAGAAATGCACGTTTTCCGTGACGTCATGAGAGAGTAACTTCATATTACATGATTCCATGCAGAAGCTCCTATTCTCCCCAGTGCTCACCACAAGGAAAACAGCTTCACATGGGATGCAGCATTCCCACTAGGCTTAAATAAATTCAACCTTATTTTAGCACAGCAGCCAAATAGTTGCATACATTTAGTCAAAGAATGCCTGTCTTGTCAACAAAACCCATAGTTCTTTGGTTTTGTTGGGATATACCCGATTTGTTAGACTGTGGCTTAATACAAATCACCAAACATCATAATATGCCTGCAGCATCAAAGTATTTTAACACTGAATAGGTGTGTGAGATGAGTTTTTTGATCAATATTTTTATATTGAATGATTCTAAACAGTGAAAATTTAATCTTCCACTGATGCCCTTAAACATGTGCATGGTGCCCTTACGAGGTCCATATGGTGTTATCATTACTCTATTATAAGACCTCCTACAACATTGTAAAGGACTGTTGTGTGAACTCAAAAAGAAGATAATCTGATTGTGTTCATGTGTTGAGTTCATTAAATCTCTAAAATTTCAATAAACAGTAGTTTCAATGAACAATGTGAACTCTGAAAGTCTGAACATATTTTTACATTGCAAATCTTTCTCTGCCGTCCAAATTATGGTTTTACCAAAACACTAGCACACACACACACACACACACACACACACACACACACACACATACACACACACACAAGAAAGGAATCTGTTTATTAGGTCGTTTGAAGTTGCAGGTCTCTTTCGATCCATTAGCTCATATCTATCTGCCTTTCCTAATGTAATTAAAAAAATTAAAAAGTTATTCAAAAGACGTGGGGTTGTGTTATGACATCATTACATGAACAAATACAGGACCTTTGTCAAGGTTCCCTTCAGTTTATCCATTATTTGCATATAGCCAAAATAAACTACTACATGCTTATTACGGTACAATAACATGTTGTCTATACTGTATATTTACAAGCTCATTAAGAGTAATGATGGGACATGGTAAGCACAGTAGGCTGATTCTTATTCTCCCATGTCTGTTAATGTGCTTATAAAAAGTGATTTGTTGTTTTAACTTAAAAAGTGATCTGGTTGATTTAAAATGTCGAGCTCATTAAACTCCAGTTTTAACCGAAGCAGAACAAAAACCTGTGATGATATCTGAACATTTAAGTCTAAACTGACAACATAGGAAAAAGTTCATAAGAAAACGTCACCACTGTGCAATGTGAGCCTGTATTCCTATTTAGCACCTTAATCCACCAAAACTCAGAGCGTGAAAACCTGAACAATGAGCAGTTAAAGAGACATTTCTGTGAGCATTTTCATATGAACTTCACACAATAAGTAAAATCACAGAAAATAAAATGTCATCTTGCTCATGCTTTCATGCATCTGTTGCTGACGGACAGTATCAAAACAAAGAAGAGGGAAAATGTTATGGATATTCGTGCATTGACTAAAAACGACCTACTTAATATATTACATGCTGACTTTGCAATGTATTGTAATACAAATCCACTATCATTTTCATACCCACAGAGTCTGTGTGTTTATAAATAGGCTCCTGCTGGATTATATTATTTTTCACACCTACTTTATAAGAGCTGTTTTGGACAAAACTAGCCTCACTCTGGCCAATCTGCTTGGAAAAAACATAAACATGTGTTTTCACTAAGAGTTACGGGGAATAAACTCTTCAGTATCTGATGCTTGTGAACTTCAGGACCTTTAACATGCTCCTCCATTCCTTAAAGCATCTTCAGTTCAGCTCATCTTATTTAGCCCATAGAACATAGTTCAGACTTCTTGTTGTCGTAAGTTTTCAATTTTTCACAAGACTCACCACACTGTAAAAAACAGATTTGTGGGTTTACCAGATGTAGACCTACATATCCAGTAAAACTATTGGGTTCTCACTAGATGTCTGTTTAAATAAATATAAAAGGTTTTAAATGAACCTAGATTTCCCGGTCACCAAGAACAGGTTAAACTCCTGAACACTGCTGATCTCTTATTTGCATACCTGCTCAGTTCTTTCTCCTTTCATCTCGTGCTTTTGTTTGGGGTTGAGTGTGTGTGCGCATGTGTGTGTGTGTGTGTGCGTTGCACGACGATGCCTAAGGCTAAAGGCTGCCTTCAGTAGTCATCCCCTCCTCCTCCTGCTCCTCTCCATGGGCTTTCTTGTTATCTGGCAACAGAATACTAATAAAATGCAGTGACTCCAACATGTCTGCTTGCCTGTCGCCTCCTCCTGCCTCTTTGCACGCAGGTCTAACCTCACGCCTACTGGGATTTAACCCTTTTCTGGACCAGCTCGTTGAGCAACAAACTAACATCAGTGCATACAGTGGCATAAACATCTTGGAATTTAGGCACATTGATTTCAGCACAGGTGATCCTACAGGGGGCTGAGCAATCTATTATGTACTATAACTTAAGCCGGTGTAATATTCCTCTAAAACAGCACAAAAAACTTTTTTTTTGGAATTGGTTCAACCGGCATAATACCAACTTTTTTTAATACATGAATTCAATTTGCATTTATTCAACTTTAACAGCATTACAACAGAAGCACTACTTACAGAAATATAAAAACAGTTCCAGGCACCACCACACAGTGTTCTATGTCTCCAAAACAATATGTTTTTAGTGGTTCTGTTGTTGCATTTGAACACATATATACAACTACATCTTTCAATAGATTGTACAAATCAATATAACTTATTATGTCCTGAGTCTGTGAAGCGCACGACAGCCACCCACATCGTAGGTGACCCTTTTTTCCTTTTTTTTTTTGGGTTCATTTCTATCTTTTGTTGCATCGTAAACAAACAAATACTCCAAAATCCGTCTAGCAAGGAAGAACAAATATGAATAAAATGGGAGCAATAACTCAAAATAATTTAACACCACGCCATAATGTCCTTTAAATAACAGGTTAACCTACATGCCTATGTGCTCATATTAATCTGAATAGTCGAGCAGTTGAAATATTGCTGTGGTACAATAGTCGTCGTTTTCTTCTCAGCCTGACAAATGAAGTCTGTCGCCGTTGAACTCAACTCAAAGAGGCCAGCGAAAGTCAAGGGGATCGACGATTGTGACTTCAAATGCCTCTTTTCAGCTTATTTCCCTTTAAGGCCCTACTTAGCACGAAGCCACTACAAACAGTCTGCTTGCTTGTATGAAAGTCCAGTCTGTTTTTTTTTTTGCTCTTCAGTCCCTTGTCCAGGTCAGTAGACGGCCCCTAGGCTCTGCACAGTGCCTGGGTGCTGTAAATGCGATCCTTGCTGGTACCAGGGACTGCTGTAGTCTTCCAGGTAGGAGGGCGGTGTGGAGCTAAGAGGGGGCTGAGGGCCCTGGCCCCGGCCAACCTGTCCTGAGTGCGCATTACTGTCCCATACGGCCGGGGAGGGTGGTGAATTGCAGGCCATGGAGTCGCTGGCATTTGGGCTGTGTTCCAGCGGGATCTCACCATTCTTGTACAGCTTCTTGAACTTGGACCGCCGGTTCTGGAACCATATTTTCACCTTTTGAAAGAAAGAAGCACATATATTGAGTTATCTGTGTTTTGTGTGTGATAAATTATAGACAGTATTCCTGATATTTGGAGTTAGGTGGTCATTTGCCTACGCTGGCAAAAAATAGCTGCTTTGACTTTGTAAAGTCAGTTAACTTGTTTATTTTTCATCAAAACTAATAGTAAGTTAGCAAAAACATCACGGAAACGATGATGATATCTCAACAACACTGTGGAATCTGAGTTGACCTGACTAAAGAGGAAAAGGTAAGAGAACACAAAAAGCCTACATAATATTCTACAGTGCTTGAAAAATACGTCTTTAAAAAAGGCATTAATTTATATCATTACGGGTATTAAAACACCTGAAAATGTACTATGAAAGATTCAATGATGTGCACAGCACATCTGTAACTATTTCATCAACTGGTTTCACGATATAGACCTTCAGGTCACGTTCGCTATGCTGGACGTACAGCGTCAGGAGGGCTGTGTTGGGTTGTGTGTGTTCTGGGTTGTACCTGTGTCTGTGTGAGGCCAAGCTGTGCTGCAAGCTCCGCTCTTTCAGGCAGGGCCAGGTACTGGGCTTTCTGGAAGCGCCGCTGCAGTGCTGCCAGTTGGAAACTGGAGTAGATGGTGCGGGGCTTGCGGATCTTCTTTGGTTTGCCATTGACCATCCGGACTTCAGTCTCCACTTCTTCTTTTACTGCTGATAGAAAGGATCAATAAATAAATAAATAAATACTTACATAAACAAACTTGTGGATATATCTTGCTGTATTAAAAAACAAATAGCAGTATATATAGCAAAAAATATTAAATTTTAAATTAACATGTTTATCCTTCCACCACTAGTATAACATGGTTAGACTGAGTGCAGTTGACTAGTTCAAGTTAAGCCAGAAAAGGAATTTTGTAAAATGTTGGACTGTTTTTTTTTTTTAAACTTGTCTAATATGGTAAGTTAAACCATTTAATTTAATTTGATACAACGTTTTAACAGAATTGCAGTTAAAATATTTGTACTTGTTAGTCTGATACTAGAGCAAGTATAAGTATAAGCAGCCTATTATACTGTTTCACAGGTGCTGTAATATTAAACTTATTATGTAACAATTAGCACGAGTAAGCCTATTGCTGGTTGTTGATTTTCCATATTATTATTATTATTATCACTATAATTATTATTATTATTATTATTATTACTATTATTATTTCGTTTATATTCGAATTTCATTCGTGTTCTGAGTTTGTTTTAAACGACCACAAATGACCAGTTCCGTTTAATGTTTACAGTACAATACTTCCCTATTAAAAGCATTTAAATTTACTACTTAAGACCGCAGACATAGAGATAATTTTTTATTGTTCCTTGAGGGAAAATTCTGTTTTATATATTAATATGATACACATTTGGTTATCTATCAATCATAGCCGTTTAACACTGAGCCGCGCAGGCTAACTGTTGTAACAAAATCATCTCGCGATTGTTGGAAGCGCGAGACTCCTTCACATTAAACCGAAATGAATTTATTTCTTCGCCCTATGTAGCAGAAATATACACGACACACTCTGATGACGACATAAACGTCTTTAAAATAAAATTAGGGAAAAGCGGGACAGAAAAAATGAGGTGAAATCGCTACTGTAGAATGAGCTTAAATATAGCTAAACATATTTAGAAAGAAAGAAAGAAAGAAAGAAAGAAAGAAAAAGAAAAACTCTGCTGTGGGCCAAGTTTAATTTGTTGCTCATCCGCGCGCACAGATTCTACGCGATGTACGATCCGCTTTTGTCAGGTCTACTCAGATTCCCCACTGCTGTTAACACAATACTATATTTTTGTTCTTGTTCACTTCGCATTGGAATTTAAATAAAATCAACATCTAAACTTTACTTTACGTTTCCTTACTAAAACTAAAACTGACCCACTTTTCCTGTGCACGTTGAAAAAAAAAACAGTATCACTACCGCAGCTGCCCTTCCTCATTCCCGTGTATTCCTTATTCACCCTGAGCTACAGTGTAAAATGTCCCACCTGTATTCTGGGGAGGGCTCTGCAGCTCCCTGCCGTAGTGTCCGTACTGCCTGTAGGACGGGCTGTAGGGGTACTCTGCCTTGCTGGGGTAAGGCCCCGCTGGACCCATGCCGGACATGTTGAACTGGGGGTAGGCGCCCATAGGCTGAGTCTGGTAGGGCTGCCCAGAGTAGTAGTCGCTGTAGTAGCCCATGTCCGTGGCTGAAGACTCGGGCAGTGTGGGAGAGTCTTTAGACGACGGGTGGCAACTCATAGAGCCCGAAAGATCTGCAGAAATCCCGGGTATCTTCCTCTCATAAGCCGGTCCACTCATCGTCGGTGGCGGGGAAGAAGAAAAAAAAAAGGAGAAAGAAAGGTGTCCACTCTTATGTCCTAGTCCTGCGATGTATCTGCAGTTTAAGAGGGGAAATGCAGATGTGGATGTGGCAAAGAGGGCAAATCCTTGGAGGGCTTCTCTTGCCCACTTCTCTCAGCTGAACTTACTCCGACTGTGGCGAAAAGCTGCTTTGTGGAAACTGAGTTATAGGGAGGCAGAGCGCGAGCTGTGATCCTATTGGCTCAAAAGTTCGGTGCAGTCCACTTTCCGTCCACGAGGGGGCGGCTCTCTCCTAAACGTAAGCTTTGCTAGATATATTTTTATGAAAGTTTCGATTTTAGTGGGATATTTGTTGTGTGAATCTAATAAACGTCTAAATGAGCTTTTCCTAGTCCCACTACACTGTTTGACTATTTAATTAACTTTAATAAGCGAGGAACCTGCTTTTAATTTAAAAAGTGAGGGATGCTAAGTTCGCTGAGTCCAGTACAAATTATAAAAGCTGAACAACACTGATGATGCACATTTGGCTTGACAAGAGAGAAAAAATAAATGTCTAAATCATTCTTGGCAGTGTACAGTAACACTGTCGAATATGTGTAGTTCCACATTTGACGTCATATAAATGCATAAACCCTCTACATGTTTTATTCTGCCCAGTTTGAGTCAGGAGTTTATGCTTCAATAAGCTTGAATGCCTGTGAGAAGAACTAACGCTGTGTCTTTCTCTATGCTAATTCAGAGCTAGCTGTCTTGAGACGTTGTGGTGAAAGAGACGCAGGAAGGCCATCAACCCCAACCCCAATGCCCACTGGGGCATTCCACTATGTGCTCATTATCCCAAGGCGTGGTACCACAGACCTCTTAACCTTTGCCACTGAAAAGGCCCAGGCCTGCTTTTTTGACCCATAACCTGTGGTCATGTGAGTATATGTGGCCATTTGTTCCTAATTCCATTTTTGGGTTTAATTTAATTCTGGATTGCTTTGCTGTTGCTCACACCTCTCATTTATGAAGTTTAGCATTTTATTTTAGACCAAATTGATCCCAGAAAGTGGAGAATACCACTTCCTTAGTTCCATCGCGATTCTACGGAGAACTTAGTACTTGAGGAGTTTTTTGACCTGACACATTTTCACTCTAGCTACTTCAGTCATTTAATTTAAGTAAGAATACTTTTGGACAGTGGTTTTAGGCTTTTCTCCCCGCCTCTGGAAAAGACACACTGCACTCCTTGAGTTCACACTGACTATAATATCATCCTGCAAGGCAAAAATCTGTCACATAACCACGTAACTGGGTGCGTAGATTCATCATGTACTCAAATTCCATCGAAGCACTTTTGGAGATGGATAACCTTCGGTGATTCCCACAGTGCTTCTGTCTATCAAGTGACAAATACTGTTAGTCTTGTTGGGAGGGGATAAATTAATTATTAATTAATATTTGTAAGGCTCCGTTTGTACAGCTGTTCCTTCCTCTGGCGAACTTTTGGGACATCCACTCATTAGGCCATTAGGGAATTGAGAAAAAGAAAGTGTTTTAGATTGGCGTTTAAATATCACTTAATTACACTGTAAAAATCGTGTGTCAATTCATCCCAAAAATAGTTTAGATGAACAAAAACGATATTTTATATCAACTCAAACCGTCAAAGCACGTTTTTGCAGTGCAGCCTACGCGGTTTTCTCATTGCGAAAAAAGTTGGTTTGCCTTTCAATATGTTTCTAATGCAACACTGCCTCCCCGTGGCTAAAACTGAAACTGCAGCATTTATCAGGAGTTCTTCACTGAACTGACAAGTGATCAGGTGGTTACCTTTTGGAAATCGCGTATTGAATTTACCGGTCACGTGACACGGGTGTGACTAGGTCTATCGGGATAAATTCCTGAACGTTTTTTCAATAGCCCCGGATCCTTCAGTACGATTACAGTAATAATCACACACACACACACACACACACACACACACATATATATTATGAAAGAATCGACTCCAAGCATATCAACTCTCACGGTCATTGGCCAAGAGTCAGCCCAGACTCCCAGACCTGTTAGGCCCAATCCCATTTCAACCCTCGCCACTACTCTTTGCCCTCCTTTTGAGAGTTCACGTCTAGGGGTAGGGTGTCCTGATTTTTGCTGAGATAGAGGGGTAGGGCGAAGTGTTAGGCATACATGGCCCTCCAAATGGAGGTTTTTCAGAGACACAATCCAAACACAAGCAAGATGGCTGCACAAGCGCCCAAAAAAACCCATAAATGTGAGAGTTTTTTTCTGTTAAAATTGCGATAACCATTGTATTATCTTAGTTTAATGTCGTTTCAATGTATTTTGGTCTTTTTCTTCATAACAAACATAAAAAAAATCGATAATAGTATGCTAATGTTTCAGTAGCCAGCTAGCTAAATTTCCTGTTCCACCTTAAATAGCGCTGGAATGTAACTGCTGCTCCATTTAAGGTGGAACAGGAAAGTCGATCGCGAAGCTGGCGAATAGCTGACTTATGATCTGAAATTTATGATTTTGCTTTTTGACTCGACTACACTTCTATGAAGGTTCTCGTTATTCATTACTTTGAATCATAGTTCTGAAGTCAGTGGATGAATTATCTAAAACGCGGTAGGCCATATTGTGTTTGTCCCAGGGGAAAAATCAGTTAACTAATCAAGTTCAAAGTGTATGCTGCATTTGTTGTGAACAGTTGAGCTTGGCTTCTGTAGCTTCTGTACTACCACAACAGATAAAGATCATAAAGATAAATGTTTCTCATCAGAGAATCAGAATCAGAATCAAGCTTTATTGGCCAGGTATGCTTACACATACAAGGAAATTGGTTTTGGTTACAGGAGCTCACAGTGCACAGTATCTGACAAACACTTACATGTAGTAAATAAAATAAAATACAATAAAATAGCATAAAATAAAACATGCATTTCTACCATCACTCACACACACACACACACACACACAGACACACACAGACACAGTCCTACCCTTAAACAGCACCCATGGCCACATCTTAAGCCCATGTTTGAAGTTTTGAGAAGAAAATGTAGAGTGATTGTGCAGCTTAAGTGCTTCAAGAATCAGGGCGTCTATGGGCGAGGCAAGGGCTGAAGCTTGGAGTACTCGTTCTGTGAACCTTTATCGCAGCCTATTACCCAAAACTCCAAGAGATACAAGCAAGGACCAATCAGAGTAGATGGTTTTGTTTACAGCTGACCAACATGGCGGAGAGGAAGTTATTCAGACGGGATTGAAAATGCATTAATTAATTTAACTTCTAAGTTAAGTTCTGTACACAAGCAAATTAGAGTACCAACAATACATCATACGCTGCACAATATGCTGCACATGCACAGACTGCACAATGCATGAGTATGTCCCAAAAACATGTTTAACCCAAGCACCCTCAAGGTCTGATGCCCTATAGGTCTGCATGTTGATCAAAGTCACCCAAGTGTGGAAAAGTGTGGGCTGCATGGTCTTTAGTAGGGATGCAACGGTACAGTGGGTCCACAGTTCAATATGTTTCACGGTTTTTGAGCCACAGTAACAGTACAGTTTTGGTATCTGTATATTTAAGAAAAAAACAACACCCTTTCAACAATTAAATCATTTTGCTTACAGATAAATAAAACTTTCCATTCAGAAAAATGGCAGCATGACTGATTTAGCCTTGTTTCTGTCTCTACTGTATAAAATCAAAGAGAGAAGAACATTAAAATTATAAGTGCTTCTTAGCTTTGATAACCTGTAGACAGATAAAGCATTCAGCATCACTTATCTCACTTATTTTCTCAATATATTTTTTTACTATCTGTTGAATACATTTTAAGATTTCTTCACTCAGTCCAACCAATGTTTTTCAACACTGGGGTTTACATTGCACCTGTAACTGTGTATTGGAATCTGAAACTTGTGTACTAGATGTGTAGAACGAAATCCGTATTTGATTCAGTAGCAGAAGATTGAATTCCCCCTTTTCAAATCCCACTGCAATTTTTCTGGGTTGTACAGAAACTGAAGATTATTATTTATTTACAGACACATTAGGAGTGAGGTTTACATGTAATGACAGATGAGATCCAGCAGGTGGTGTAATTGCTACACAATTGTAGCAAATGACTGCTGTGACCTTAGGCTCATGCGTCGCTGCTCCAGACCATGTCATTCTGTTGGTAATGCTGTGTATAGAGATTATACAAACTCTGTGTGTGCAACTGAAAGCGTGTGTCAACAATGGGTGCCCCTCAAAGTAGCTGCATTCAATTATAACTTATCAATTATAATCAACTAATTATAAGAATTGGACAGTGTGTCCCAGTAGTCTCACTACTCTGTCAAACTGACTGACAATGTCTTAAACATTCAAATTTCATTGATTGATTGATCGTGTTAGTATTTTACACCTTTTAAATTTCTTGATTTTTTGTTATGCTAAATGATCAAGCGTAACAGTTCTCATTTGCACAATTTTAGTCTAAAAAGTTAAATTTCTCATATTATTATTTGTTATATATTCTATGTAAACCATGCTTTTGCAATAATGTTAATAATTTACTTTTCAAAGAAGGGAGAGAGAGCGAGAATGGGGGGGGGGTAGTTGAAGGGAAAGTCCTTTAATTATTCAGAATTCCTTCATTAATTAAATAGTTAAGATATAAACAAATATAGTTTTGCGAGGCTTATTGCTTAAAATGTATGTTTTATTTTTTTTTATCAATTCAAGGCAGAAAGGTACTGAAGGATGTTTTAAGGCAAAAGGCCGTTATTCTATATTATTCCGTATCACATCAAACCAGTCTGTATGACTTTGTTTACATTTTAACAATTGAAATATGCAGAAATTTAGCGAAATCAATAAAAGTTAGACAGGCAAAGAGCGAGAGATCTCAATTTATCACAAGTCTAGTATTACTGGTAGTCATGGAATGTTATCTGTTTGAAGCGAGTGGGTGAAGGACCGGATGTGGGGACTGAAAGATTCATTG